TCTGCAGTATGTACAATTCACAGTCCCCTCTCTGACTCTTGGATCTATGGATCCTCCTGTTGTACATTGGTTCTTAGCATGCATGGCTACTAAAGAAATGCAAATCTCATAGATGTTTTTAACTTATTTTATTTGCACCACAAACATTAATCTGTATCCTGTGTACTGTAATTTAAAAGTTCTGCTGGAAATAAATGTAGAGCCGTGCTTGGTGGTGTTAAGAACTGATTTCTGTGCTTTTTACATAGAATCTAAATGTATCCATTATCCAACTGTACTTTTTTACATGGGGGGGGGAGAGAAGAGGACTATATTGTTCTTAATTTACAGTTAACTGTAGGCAGTAAGATTTGGTTTTGAGTTAGACACTTTGGAGACCTGCCAAATCTGTTGTTTGAAGTGAGGTGTTTTTTATTCATTTTTAAAGTCTTCACTTTTGCAGCACCATGGCATTAGCAATTCTCTGTGTAATTACATTTTGATTAAGGATCTTAGAATGTATTTCAACGAACTGTTTCAATTTCTCATTTTTAATTTTCAATGTCATTTTAACTGTCACTGTATCACAGTCCTTATGATGTCCCAGGTCCCACTCTTTCCTTCTCCCTCCCAGCTCCCAAAGCTCCACGCTTCTGAGGGGCCCTGTCATCAGCATGCAGCCAATATGCCCAAGAACCTCTGTGACCCCATCCCAAACATACACATGCAATGCCTGTGAGCCTACCTCCCAGGCTAAGTAGCTACATCTGTTCTGTGGTCTTTAGGGAGGGGGTTGCAAGCAGAAGGAAGGATACAGCTTGAGGGTTCCCACATGTTACTTCTTGGGGAGTGAGGGGAGGTGCATAGAGTCTGGGGTTTTAATAAGCCAAGGCAGCTCTTCTGTAGCCTGGATCTTTAATTCTCAGCAGCTAAAACAGCCACCACCTCAGGCCTCTGCCCAGCAGCACCGCCTCTCCCAGCACTGCCAGGCCATACTCATGCCAAGCCTCCAGCACCCCCAGCACCAACCCCCTCTCCGCAGGAGATTCCTCTTCTCCAATCCATTGCCCAAACCCCTTAACACCCAGGAGCCCACACTAACCCATCCCATAGCAACTTCCTCCAGTCCCATAGCTCCACCTCCTGCCAGCCTGCCTGGCGCTGCCCCATCCCACAGCAGCTTCCTCCCACCCCACAGCTCCACTTCCTCCGACCCCCCCCCATCCCAGTCCACAGAAGCTAACCTGTGCCTGCAGCCCCCTCAACCCTAGCTCACTACACCAGGCCCAGCAGGCTCCCAAAGCCCCAGTATCCAACTCCCGACACCCACCCACCCCCCATAACCCACCTGCTAGTAACTGCCCCACCCCTCCCCCCTCAGGCCCCACACTAACCCACCCGCCAGCTCCACCCTACCTGACCTCGCACTAACCCCCCCCCCGGTAGCAACGTCCTCCGGCCCCCCTTTCCCCAGCCTCGCACTAACCCCCCGCCGGCAGCCGCCCCGCCGGCCCCGCACTACCCCCCTCCCAGGCAGGCCTGACGCTACCCCAGCAGCCCGGTCCTACACTGCCCGCCCCGCCGAGGCCCCACCACCGCACTAGGCCCCGCAGCCCGGCCCCACACTAACCCATCCGCCAGCAGCTCCTCTATCCTCCTTCTTTTCTTCTCCCTAAAAGAGAGAGAATAAAAGAAGGGTCAGTCTCGCGCTACCGAGCCCGGGGGGAGGGAGCCCGGGGCCCACCGAGCCCCGAGGGAAGGGGGGACCACACACACAGCTACTTACGGCTCCTCGCCATCCGCCATATTTCCCTCTGCTTCCCACAATGCCCCGCTGCCAAGCCGCCGCCGCCCTTCGGGCCGAGCCGGCCAACGGCAGCGCAGCGCCTCTATGGGCGCAGCTCAGCTAGAGCGCCAAGGCGGGCGGAAAGACCATAGAGAGCAGCTGGGAGGAGAGAGCGCCCCACCCGGCGTGCTCCGGCGGGGCGACGTAGTTCCTCGGGGGGGGGGGGGAGGGAGAGAGGGCGCGCGCATGACACGTGCTTCCAATAGACGGCTAGTGTAGAACTCAGCTCCACAGCAATAATGTAGGGAATGGACCCTCAATAATTGGTTAGTCTCTAAGGTGCCACAAGTCCTCCTTTTCTTTTTGCGAATACAGACTAACACGGCTGTTCCTCTGAAACCTCTCTAAGGCAGTGCTTCTCAAGCTATCTGATGTGGGGGACCGGCAATTTTTTTTCCCCAATGTGCGCGCAGACCGGCAGCCGATGGCTCGCGGACCGGCACCGGTCCCTCGCGGACCGGCACCGGTCCGCCGACCACCTCTTTGAGTCGCACTGCTCGAAGGGACTCCACAACCTTAATCGGCCCCCATAGAACTCATCCCTCTAGCCACAGTGCAGGGTATAGTCCCCTATAGGTCATCACAGAGCCAGCATCCCGGGGAAAAGCCCACAGCACATCTCGCTTGATTGCCAAACTGTAGGGCATAGGTCTCCAAAAAACATCCCCCCTTGCCCAAATGAAGGGTATAAGCCTCTGCAGAGTTCACGCCATAATACAAGGTGTAAGCCCGATAGAATTCCCCTTCACACATAGGTAGGTCTCTGATCTGATTTCCTAAAGCCACTATTTATGCCCATAATGCATAGGAGGCCCTGTCACTCAGCCTTACGTCAATAATGCAGTGTATAAGAGTCTATAACTCACTCCTACAGTCACAGCAACGGAGAGCATAGGCTGATGAAAGCTGGAGTTTCCTCTGAAATTCATATGTACCGTTTCTATACAGGCTTGAGGGATCACCGTCAAGCTCTGAGAGATTCACAATCTGTGTTCACTGCACTTTGAACTCCTACAGCCTCATGGAGTAAGAAACCAGATTTCAAAACGGCCTCTAGCCTATTTATTGCAGAGCAATAATCATACAGCCATCTGACCAGCACATCTTCTTTATGTATTTTATATGTTTTTTGTTTTAGTTTTTTTCTTTTTTTTTTTTATTAGGGAAAGTGTGAAGGTGGTACCAATTATAGAAAAACTGAGGAATCCAGGATGGTTTGGGCATGTGAAAAGAAGACTGGAAGAATATATGGGAAACGGTATTAATTTAGAAGTGGGAAAGTAAGAGAAGTGTTGGAAAAGAACTAGATGGATGGATGTTATACAAAATGATCTGATTAGCTGTGGAGTTTATGAAGCACTGCTTCAAGACAGACTGGAATGAAGAAGGACTTGAAGAGCCAACCCCATATAGATGGGACTAAGGCTAGAAGAAGAAGAAATGTATGTTTTATCTTATCAGTGTTATCTGTAATTGGCCTTCTGCCTGAACAGAGGCTGGTACGGACAATCTCATAAACACTAATGGATTGAGTAATAACAAATACGAGTAGTCCCATTGTATCCAAAGGAGCTGCTCATGTGTGTCAAGTTACTTACTCCTATTAGTTTTTGTGATATTGATGCCTAGGGAGGTTTCTGTGAGGTTAAATGGAGTGGGGAATGATAGGATGTTTTTGCAGTTCACCTCCCTCCATTAGAATTTAGGGTGATGGAGAGAAGTTTTCCATTCTTTTCATCCCAAAGCAAAAAGCAGAGGGAATGAGATGGTCCAAAGACTGCAAACACAACATATGTGGAAAGTAATCTCAAAGACTACTGAGGGACATTGCACAAACCCCTTTGACAACTACATCCTGCCAGGTAGAAGCACACACAGATCATTAATATATTTAAAATAAGAATTCGTGAACACCCTCTACACAATGTAGGCATCATTTTTGTTGAAACCAGGGCTAAAGTGAGGCCTGATCCAACTCCCCTTAAAGTCAATGGAAGTGGGATTAGGCTCAAAAAGAACAAGATAACACTAAGGTACCCTTCCCCGTTCCAAATGATTAATCTGTATTTCTTGCTGAAGTTTCCCTGAGTATTACATTGATTGAGTGCTGCTCTGCATTTTGTGTAGCTGCTTACACTACTATTTGATTTAACGCATGGATTTTGCACTCATTTTGCAATGGGGTAAATGACATAGCAACAGTGGGTTGTGCCCTCAGTGCACGCTTTATTATTTCTCCTAACAAGATTCGATGGAATCGGCCTTTGCTGCTGCACTGATGGCTGGAACTGGCCCGCATCATTACTTGAATCACATTGACTTCAAACACATTTCTGCAACACCAATAGTTTAGAATTCATGAAGTGATTTCCATTAAAATAGTATGTTAATTTCAATGTTGATGGTTACAGTTTATTGAACAAAGGGAACAAGCGCGTGGCAGTGGCTGTAGGTGCTATAAAACATCAAATGCACTGGTGTAAAATATTTTATGAAACATCATAAGCATTTCACATCTTACATTAATTTGATTCCACATTTGCTTTATATGTATTTATCTGATCCTTTGGTAAAAATTTCGTGTCAATTTAATACATATATATAAACTAATGCTCCTCCCTCCCCATTTTCAGTAAGTACAATAATGTACACAATAAGCCCTAGACTCTTCATCATCTGACCTGATTGTAGATTTCTCCTGGGTTTGACCAGCAGTAAAAAGGCCTGCAACAATTCTCCAATAGGCTCATTCATGTCATTTTATTAAATTACTGAGCGTCTCTGCCCGTGACGAGATTCGCCCAGCTGCTACGATCTCATCCACCGAACCGCAGGCCCATTTGGGATTATCGCGAAAGACAGTTTTGCGACCTCAACAAAAAAAAAAAAACCCAGACCTCGAGGGGGAAGGCTCCTTGTCGAAAATGCGGCATTTAACGGACCGCTCTCGGGTGCTTGCCACATCGCGTCTCCTTCGCGCTGCCACAGCCAGCCACCCCCCTGCAATCCGCGGAGCGGAGGAAGTGGAGGCGTGAAGAAGGGAAAACAGACCCCTCCTGCTGCCGCGGTGCATTGGCGGCGCGGGGAGCAGCTGAGCCGGCCGGCTGCGCGGATTCGCTGCCGGGAGCTCTTTAACCCTGCCCAGCTGACGGGCCGCCGCCGGCTTGGGAGCGCGATGGAGGTGCAGGTTGCGCCCCGGAGAGCCTGGGACGACTTCTTCCCCGGCGTCGAGCGCTTCGCCCGGCCGGATTTCAGAGACGTGTCCAAATGGAACAACAGGGTGGTCAGCAACCTGCTCTATTACCAGACCAATTACCTGCTGCTGGCTGCCGCGGTCGTCTCCATCGTGGGGTGAGTCTGCCTCTCCTGCGCGGGAGGGGTGGGTAGCAAAAGGGGCGCCCCCTTCCTCCCCCGCTCCCCCCATCTGCGCTGCCAGGAGCGGAGCTCAGGGTTTGGCCTCCTGCGACTTGCAAAGGGCTGGGCTGGGGGGTCCCGGCTGGATGCTGGGTCCTGCAGGTTATGCCCCCTGGGCCGCTGTGTGGACAGACGCGGTCGCAAAGCGGGCTGTAGGGTCAGGACGCTGGCGGCCGTGCCCGTGTGTCCCCCACGCCGCGCCGGCAGCTCCCTGCCTGGGCAGGGCTGGCCGAGGAGGCCGCCCAGGTGTCCGGGCCCCAGCGCCGTTCTCGGCGGTTTCTGAGATCCGGTTCTTCTTCCCCACCCGGTGGGCCTGCGACAGCCGCCGGAGCAGCGGAGGCGAAATGGACCGTGCAAGGACTTGGCTGTGTTGAGGGAGGGAGCAAACCTCCTTGGGTTTCAAATTTAAACCAGCAGAGTTGGTTCTGTTCACCTGGAATAGCTGAGAAAGGGTGTAAGTCAGTGGAAGGTGTGGCTTCCTTTTTACAGCACAGTTATGTGGTAGGAGTCCTAAAACAGCTCCTCCCTCTGCTCCCCACCCCCCAATCTCCCCTTTCTGGGGGTGCTGCTGTGTGTGGGGGGGTAGAGAGCAAAAGGCTTGTTTGGGAGACCTAAATCGTTTAAATTTTTTGTTTTATGTTAAGTTTTAATGTGCTCAGTCTCAAAAAACAACACTGAGTTTAGGAACTGGCTGCTGTGTAGCTCTCGGCTTAACTCTCTACTTTTCCTCTTAAAAATAAAACCACTTCCTCTGCAGTGATGTGCTTTCTGCTTAAAGGGTTACCAGCCAGAGAGCAGAATCGGACAAGTTGAAATGTAGAAAGTGTGGTTGACTGTTGATAGGCTTTTTGTGTGTGTTTGTTTTTTCTTCTCTTCTCTTCTCTTCCGCCCTCCCTCCCCCCAAACTTCAGGGGACCAATTTTGTTCAGTCATGGTATTGCATCTGCTGTGTCTGAGGTCAGGATAGGGCTCCAGGTCTGTGGAGGTGGAGCAGGATCAGTTCCTGGAGCAGTCAGTGCTGGAAGTCTGATGATAAGAGCAGGATTGTTTTGCACATGGGGGGGTCTCATTCGGGTATCGGTGTACTCTCTGAGCATAACTGCACCATGGCGCCCTTCTGCTCCTGGAGAAAGTCTGGAGACTAAACATTTTACCCCTTTCTGATGGGGATCTGGCGTGGCTCCCTCTCGAGTATTGCTGTAAGACTTGTGTTAAGGTGTTTTAGAAGCAGATGCAGAAAATAGTGATAATGGGGGTGGGGACCTCTTAATCTTCCAACCAAACCATTTGCAATTATCATGTCTAGGCAGGTAAAATAGCAACACTTATCTGAATCCAGAGCACTTGAATTGGGGGTGCTGAGGATCATCTGTTTTGTCTGAATCAGGTCTGACTTTAAGCCTATGAGCCAGGGCACCATCTCATTTATAATAGCATGTTGTAAAGATGCCAGCTTGTTCATTTAAAACATTAAACCAGAATGAAAACTTGCTAAAGCGAAGAACCTACATCCAGTCAGACTCCTTGAGGCCATTAACACATGGCCTAATCTGAAGCCCCCTGAAAGCTGACAATACATTTTTTTTCAATTGACATTGTCATAAATATAAAGGGAAGGGGAAATCCCTCCTGGCCAGGGGAAAGCTCCTCTCACCTGTAAAGGGTTAAGAAGCTAAAGGTAACCTCGCTGGCACCTGACCAAAATGACCAATGAGGAGACAAAATACTTTCAAAAGCTGGGAGGAGGGAGAGAAACAAAGGGTCTGTGTCTGTCTATATGCTGGTCTTTGTCGGGGATAGACCAGGAATGGAGTCTTGGAACTTTTAGTAAGTAATCTAGCTAGGTATGTGTTAGATTATGATTTCTTTAAATGGCTGAGAAAAGAATTGTGCTGAATAGAATAACTATTTCTGTCTGTGTATCTTTTTTGTAACTTAAGGTTTTGCCTAGAGGGGTTCTCTATGTTTTTGAATCTAATTACCCTGTAAGATATCTACCATCCTGATTTTACAGGGGGGATTTCTTCATTTCTATTTACTTCTATTTTTATTAAAAGTCTTCTTGTAAGAAACTGAATGCTTCTTCATTGTTCTCAGATCCAAGAGTTTGGGTCTGTGGTCACCTTTGCAAATTGGTGAGGCTTTTTATCCAACATTTCCCAGGAAAGGGGGGGTGCAAGTGTTGGGAGGATTGTTCATTGTTCTTAAGATCCAAGGGTCTGGGTCTGTAGTCACCTAGGCAAATTGGTGAGGCTTTTTACCAAACCTTGTCCAGGAAGTGGGGTGCAAGGTTTTGGGAAGTATTTTGGGGGGAAAGACGCGTCCAAACAGCTCTTCCCCAGTAACCAGTATTTGTTTGGTGGTGGTAGCGGCCAGTCCAAGGACAACGGGTGGAATATTTTGTACCTTGGGGAAGTTTTGACCTAAGCTGGTAAAGATAAGCTTAGGAGGTTTTTCATGCAGGTCCCCACATCTGTACCCTAGCGTTCAGAGTGGGGGAGGAACCTTGACAGACATCAATTAACTTTGGATCAGACTTTGAGAGGTGAAGTACTCTTCATAAGTGGGTGATATTTCTACTCTGTATACTAGCTATGGAACTGGCACCATGGGATAGAATATCTTTTTCTTCTGCCTGCTCTAAGCTTGAAGGCTGCTGGTAACTGGGAGTAGAGGGGTGTTGTATGGCCAAGAGATTAGAACATGGGACTGGTAGGTAGGCAGGACTCCTGGGTTGTTTTCCCAGCTCTGTCACCTTGAGCAAGCTACTTGGTGCTTCTTTAAACACAAAGTTGCACTGGCTTACTTCGCTTTAGTCTACCCTTAACTATTGTCAGCATTCTTGCATAGTGATAATAGACAAGTAGTTTTAGTTTAGACTGGTGCAAAATCTCACCGTTAGGTAAATCAGTGTAACTTTGTGTGTTGGCCAGGTGTGAGTTCTTCTCTACCTCAGGTTGCTAACTAATGTTCAGTTCTGAAAGACAGATAACACACTAGTCAGAAAAAAGAAAAGGAGTACTTGTGGCATCTTAGAGACTAACCAATTTATTTGAGCATGAGCTTTCGTGAGCCACAGCTCACTTCATCGGTGTGGCTCACGAAAGCTCATGCTCAAATAAATTGGTTAGTCTCTAAGGTGCCACAAGTACTCCTTTTTCTTTTTGCGAATACAGACTAACACGGCTGTTACTCTGACACTAGTCAGAATGTACTTTGCAGCCAAGGATCTCAAAAGCACTATAAACTGTTGCCACCTCAACTTGAACCTGTTTGGTCTCCTCAATCATTTCCCTACCAGATATACAATACTCAAATCCCCAATCTTCTAGAATAAGGATTATCTACATGTAACTGGGGGGGAAAAATATTACCAATTTTTCTGGCTGTGTGTGTGTATGTGTTGAATCTGCCAATAAAAAACACTAGCATGCATGGTGCACAGATCCAGAACAGTTAATGTTATGGATGTTTAGTTTTCAAAAATAATTCCTGAAGTGAAAACACCAGGATAAGGCACATCTGGTGTCTGAGATCTTCTTGCTCCTGAGTTATGATCCGTACTGTGTGAAGACTTTGCATCCTAGGAGTGCTGATGCTGCCGCCATTGAATGGAATAGCAAAAGTCCCTTATTTTAGCAAAGATCAAGCCCTAATGGGGAAACGTCCATACTTCTGGGTGTGTATTACATAAAGCTGACCTTTTTAATGGGGGACAGATTGTGGCTAACTTCACCAATTCAAATACTGAGTGTGCTGAGCGGGGAAACTAAAGAAAGCTCTGTCGATAAGTCGTAGACTTAGTCATTTGTCTAAATTCTCCATGCTTAACTGTTCACTGGGCAGCAATCCAGTACTGCATCATGGCTCTACATCTTCTAGAAAACCCTCTCTAATATGAGATTTAACTTGTAAAAACACTTGTGTAAGGCCGCAGCAACAGGATTCTGCAAAAAGGCCATTGCAGTGTGCCAAATTCTTTCTCTCTCAACAAGGCTAAATTTGCCCCATGGTCAGCTCTGTTTTAGAGTAGCCTAACTCCTCTCATTCAAGCTGGGTGTGTCTTGTAACCCTGGGCTGTCTGACTTCTACACTGTAATAGTTTGGTAGTTGTGGTGGTAGCGTTGGGCAACGTGATCAGCATTACTTAGGAATTGTGTGTCTTACACATTGCTAGTAAGACCGTAAAACCATAAAACCCCTCTTTTATGGTTGTAAATTGAATCTGACAAGATGGAAACTCATTAGACTTCCAACCACAAGTGAAAACAACGAGGAGTCCTTGTGGCACCTCCAAGACTAATTTATTGGGACATACAAGCCAAGCAAGCCCTAAGATACAACTGCATTTGCTCCAATCCCTCAGACCGAGACAAACACATACAGGATCTCTATCAAGCATTCTTAAAACTACAGTACCCACCTGGGGAAGTGAAGAAACAGATTGACAGAGCCAGAAGGGTACCCAGAAGTCACCTACTACAGGACAGGCTCAACAAAGAAAGTAACAGAAGGCCACTAGCCATTGCCTACAGCCCCCAACTAAAACCTCTTCAGCACATCATCAGGAATTGACCACCGATCCTGGAGGATGATCCCTCACTCTTACAGACCTTGGGAGACAGGTCAGTCCTTGCTGGGAGACAGGCCAGTCCTCGCTTAAAGACAGCCCCCCCCCAACCTGAAGCAAATACTCATCAGCAACTACACACCACACAACAGAAACACTAACCCAGGAACCAATCCCTGCAACAAAACCCATTGCCAACTCTGTCCATATATCTATTCAAGGGACGCCATCATAGGACCTAACCACATCAGCACGCCATCAGGGGCTCATTCACCTGCACATCTACCAATGTGATATGTGCAATCGTGTCAGCAATGCCCCTCTACCGTGTACATTGGCCAAACCGGACACTCTCTAAGCAAAAGAA